GGAAGCTGTGATGCAGCAGGAAGCAGTCAGGGAAGCTGTGATGCAGCAGGAAGCAGTCAGGGAAGCTGTGATGCACTTTTCAGTGTTCCTTTCATTTCTCGGAGCCGTGCATTTATCTGGTCTCTAGTCACTAATGGACGAATCTGATTGGTTCTTTCTCTGTCCTGCTGCTAACAAGCGGCCAATCCGCTTTGGTTCGTCGCTCCTTTGAAAGGTGGGGGCCGTTGCTGCGAGCAGAGCGGGGAGAGGAGGGGTCCCCCACCCTACCTGAGGTCTGACCTCGTTGGGGCGGCGAGCGCTGCAGCTCTGGGATGTTTGTGGTTTTCATTTTGGTGCAGACTGAGCTCTCTGTGCACGCAGACTTCCTGTAGACTGACTGTGTTTCCTCTCTCTGTTCTGTTTTTGTAGAACATCATCAAGAAGGTGAACGGTCAGAAGTTTGTCTACCGCTTTGTGTCCTACCCCGACATCCTGAAAGGAGACGCCAGCGGCAGAACAAACGCCGGAGACGGACCTGCGGTCTTACCGCAGAGGGGGGACGGGTCTCTGCTGGAGGCGGAGCCTGCAGACAGGTCCAAGGTGGGGGCGTGTCCAGCCGCTCTGGGATCTAAGCCGTCCAATAGAAACGACTACATTCACTCCGGCCTTTATACGTCCTTTCATCTCAACTCGCTGCAAAACGGCCGTAAGCTCTTCACCTCCATCAAAATGGAAAACCCTGCAGAGAAGGTTGGTGAGAAGAGGAACGCCACGGCCAGCGCACACGTCCAGGACACGCCCCCTCTGCTGCCAGTGCCCGCCGCCCCGCCATCAGTCATCAAGTTTGGAAACAGCCCCCCAAAGCCGGTGTCCATGACGGCGGCGCCTCAGGTGGCTGTAGAGGAGACGCTGCCGGCCATGCATGCGGCGCCTCAGAGGGCCGATAACCTGGGAACACACTCCTCCCTCCAGCCCGCCTACTCGTATGAACACACCCGCCCTTCAGACGCCGCCCTCAGCCTGCCAGAGCTGACCTCAGCCAGCCCGTCTCCACACCTCGCTGCAGACCCGTGTCAGGAGAGCGGCGTGCAGAGCGAGGTGGACTCCGGCTCCTCCGGGTCTACGGAGCTCCCAGCTCTGCACGCCGCAGAGACGCAGCAGCCGGAGCAGGTCAGTATAGAGAACGCTGAACATCAGAGCGCTGACAGCGGCGTTCTAACAGCTCGGTGTGTTTGCCTCCATCAGGCGGACGCCGCCGGCCTGTCGCTGGACGAAACCAGCACGGTGGACGCTGAAACCAGCTCGTCCTCGGGGAGCCAGGCTCCGGGGAAAACGCGCAAACCGCCAAAAGTCCTGCAGATCAGCCCGCCCGCTCTGCTCGTCACCGCGTCGGACTTCTCCCCCATGAACCTGTGCAGCCCGTCGCTCCCCACCGCCTCGCTCACGCCCGCCATGTTACAGGTGAGACATCAGAGCATGGCTATACCTATATACTGCTATCCCCGCCTTCTCAGCTAACCCTCAGCCAATCAAAGTTCAGCCATCATGGCTCCTCTGTTAGAGAGCTGGGTTGGAGGCGGGCCTCCTCCTTAGCAAGGTTCCAAGATGGCTTCTGAAAGGAAAACATGTAAATGTCTCAGCATTAATGCTCTGAGGTTATGAAGCAAATAAAACAGTTTTTAATGGATTTCTTATAAAAGCAGTTTGCTGTTAATTTTTACCATCAAAATTTATTTTTTTTTTATTTCACCAAAGTAATAAGGCTGTTTCCTCTAGAACACTGTTGGTAGTAGTAGTAGTTGGTAGTAGTAGTAGGTAGTAGTAGTTGGTAGTAGTAGTTGGTAGTAGTAGTTGGTAGTAGTAGTATTTCACTGAGGGCTCTATGAAGGGTGGAGCACAGTGAATCAGTCCTTGTTTCACCCCTAGATGCCCAGCAGAGGGCAGTGTTGCTGCAGCAATGCCTCTGATCCTGTCAGCGGATCACATGGCGCGGCGTCCTGTCAATCAGCTGGTTGTGCGGCTGGACGGGTCCCAGTCGGTCATGAGTTCCAGCTCATATGAAGAGGATCCACATTTAGCCGCCTCCATTATGAGCAGTAATGGAATTAAAACCAAACGGCTTCTCAAAGGATGAAAACCGAATGAAAGGACCAGTAGAGCTGCAGGTCACATGCTCTGCAGTCTGAAGGCCTCCATCTGCGTCCATGCCCAGAACTTCCTACCAAGGTCAGGAATCCTGGGTCGGTTTTAGAGCAACTTTAACGCATTCTATTTTAGTATGTTTACTATTTTTGGTAAAGGAAAAACTCATTTAGGTATTTTTAACAAAATAAAATCTAGGACAG